CATTTCTTGCTGCTATAATTAATTACATATTCTGGTTTTGGTACACTAAGTCTTTCCCTGTCTGTCTACTGTATTCAAAGTGTAAGTATTAGAGTAAAATAGTATAATTGCCATATGAAAATGGTCTGTGTATTTAACAGGATGGGGGTTCTTCTTTTAACTTCTCATTCTTTTGAATAAATCTGGAACTTGAAGTTCTTTATTTTTACGTGATACACAATGAGTATGAGAGCTGGAAATCTAATTAAGATGTTATTATTTAAGTCTATTATTAAGCGTTAATTTAGTATTCCCACTAAGGAAAAATAGCTTTTCTTTTTTTTAAATCAATGGTTCTATCTGTGCCAATCCCCACTACAGCAAAAATATCAATCCTGAGATGTTGAAACACTAATTAAGAAACATAAAGTATGAAATAAGAATGCTCACTGCTTCCATGGTCTTGGTCTTCCATGATTAAGGTTCTTCTCAGAAGATAAATTATTAGAGCAATGAATCTGTGAAAGAACCACTCCATTTTCTTGGGGAGGGAGAGAGGGGAAGTTTCTTTGAACTTCTGTATTTCTTCTGAGTAAACTACCAAACACGTTAAAAAACCTAAAGATACATAAAAAAGTGATAGCATGTTAATAATTTTGCTGAGAAACATCCTTCTTTAACATGCCTGGGACATAAATGGTTAGAAATAAACACAGAGAATGATTGCTATTAGGTGTCTGAGGAAAAAACAAAGATATGAGAGGGACTTGTTAATTAGGCTTCCTTCATGGACCACATGGAGATGAAAAGGAAATGAAATAAATAAAAAAAAAAGAAGCAAACAGATGAATATTTAGATATTCTTGCAAGAAGTTGTTGTCTATGATAATGAACTGTCCATGCTCTCAGTATCCTTACAGAGAATACCCGTCATTTTCCTGCATACATCAGAGGCAATGCAGCACCAGGGTGTCACTTAGGGATCCCACGGGATATACAACAGTGCTGATCAAACCTAAGGGAGCTGAGATGAGGAGACAGCAGGACCAACTTAAACTATAAGAGCATCTTGTTATGGGTATAGAGCAGTTCCTGCCATTGCAGTCTCCGTGACTGATGGAAGCCTGTGCAGTGATGGAGCTGGCAGACATTTTCCATTACAACCCATGTTTTTAAATTGTTCATCTCTTTCTACAAATTTGATTAGTGCTGATTGTTTTTCTGTAACATAATAACTGTTTTGGCTTTTGTTCTTCAGTAAAGCATTGAAAACATTCAACCTGACAATTTGAAATAAATAAGCAAAATGCTGTCAAGGGATACTAATTAGAAAAATTGTGCACATGCAACCTCCTAGTGTTCACTTTTGCTCTCATTTGTTTTACAGATGATACTAGGTCAAAGAAGCAACCTGTCTTTACAGGACAAACAGTTCTGAAGTTATGAGCATCTATCCATTTTCATCTATGCAGAAATTTTCCACTTAGCTTTTTTTGCTAACCTAAGCTGTTGGTGATTTGTTGAGGTTTTCTTCTCTTCTTTTACTTTGTATAACAGGAAATCCTGTGAAGTGCTTTGTTGGAATCTAAGGTACAAAGTTGTTGCTTTTGGAATCAAAAACAAATGGAAAAATTTGCTGTGATTTTTTTGCCAGTAAGTGACCTGTGATACAGGAAGACAGGAACATAAAACAAACTTGGGAAAAAAATAATCAGGTTTCCAGATTTGCTGTGAGCAGACTAATGAATTAATATGTCCATAAAAATGTGAGATTGGACTAGTAGTATAGTGGCCACTCTGCAACCACTGAATGGTCCTGGGAAACTGAGGCACAAAGCACCTGCTGTGCAGCTTGGTGTCCCAGATAAGTTCCTAGAATTTTATTTGACCCAGTTGAGATGCTGATGGATAACTGTTATTGTATATGTTTTTTTGAAAATCAGCACTAGATAAGTATTTAAAAAAATTCTATATGTTATTCCTATTGGTTATCAGTAGAAAATAATATGAAAAATAAAATTATCTGGAATCCTGCAAAAATTAGTTTTCTTAGTGGGCCACTGCTACCCGTTCAAATAGGTAGAATGTCTTAAATACAATGAGTGCAAAACCAAAATATTTTCAAATTAAAAGAAATGACTAATAGTTGTGCTGTACTACTGGGTAGAATTTCAAAACATTGATACTAAATGTAGACAATAAATTGGATTAAGATTCTTAATTCCTTTTATTATTCTTTTTAGGGGATGAAAAGCTTTATTAGAACGAAGCTCATCTAAAACTTATTATTCTTTCAGTATGCTAATTAATAGAGCAGGATCATGGATTTGTTAATTAAAATAAGATACCTCAGGGAAACTGAAATTAATTTTCATGTCCTAATAGAGTTACCATTATGTCATTAAATCTTCTGGATACCTTATCCACTTCTCTTTTTTTCCTTCCCTCAAAAAGTGAAATATGTTTTATTTAGTTTGAATTTAGAATTAGAATATTGAACGGTGGCTTACTGAAAATGTGGAGAAGATCAACTAGTAATCTTGGAATAGCTACAGTTGTCGTGGTAGTGTCAGGACTCATCACCTCATGTGCTCTGAATGAGCACAAAACCGTTCACCTCTGGATCACTGGGTCTGTACTACTCAGTATTACCTTGTAAACAGGCACTCCAGTAGCCTCCTAGAGTACCTTGGTAACATTGGCTTGTATTTTACAGATATGGAACTAGCAAAGCTCAACCCCTGGACAGACATCATAATGATTGCCAAAAATGTATTGCACCTTAAATGAAATGTCTTTCATGGATGGAAGGTGTTATCTGACAACAAATGCTGTGGTCAGCAGGGTATGTCCATGTTAGTAATTTAGTTTGTACAGAGTATTTTAAGGGAATCTCCTGGTCATCTTGACTTGCTGTACTTGAGTGTAGATTTGAATCGTTTTTTCTGGAGTGTGCAGACTGATTCCTCCTGGGTGGGACCAAGTTGGAGGATGTGCTCCAGTCACACACCAAAACCTGCCAGTGGTGGTCGACTGAAGAGCCACACAAGAGCCAAAGCAGAAGAACCACTGAGCATGGGGAGTCCTTGGTGCCCGTCTTCTCTTTCTCCAGGTCTGCTGCTGTTGTGCCGTGCTGTTGGCTAACGTGGACAGGGCTAGGGCCGTCCAGATCTTACCTGGCACCTTGACAGGAGATCACACTGTTGATGTGACAGTTGATGCAAATGTTGATTTTAAAGTAAGTCACTTCTACCCAAGAAAAAACACCTAAAATATCCTCAATGTTTTCTGATACTCTGATTTGCCAGTACACTTTCTTCCAATTTATATGTTTCATTGTAGAGAAGGGGAAAAAAAGAGGTATGAGAGACATATTAGTTTTTCTTCTACAGCAAAGCACCGTTCTAATTTTACTTGATGAATTTTCAAAGCCAGCAAAGAAGTTCTGCATCATCACCAAGAGTGTTAATTGCAAGTTGTGTCCAACACGTCTGTCATTCAGTGTACTAGAAGACAGAAATAATCTTATTAATTAATATGCCAGTGTATATTGAGTACTTTATCCCATTTTATCACAGGCTTAAATGGATAAAATTTAATTAGAGACAAGCACTAAATCTAGTTGTTAGGGGCTGCTGGGCAGTTGCAGTTTGATTAGTCTTGTGGATGCTTATGACTTCCCAGGAAGAATGCCTCTTTTTACTTTCAGCCTGCATAGTGTTCAAAGTGATTTGGTTCCACATAAGGAAGGGCAAGATGCAGTTTTGTTACTGTTGAGTCTGTGTTTAATCAGCAAATAGAAATTCAGATGGTTTGTGAATTTCAGTTGAACTTGGCAGATGGTTTCAAGCAAAATTAAAAATAATAAGTTCATTTCAGCTTCTGCAAATAGATTAATCTCAGTTTACTAAAGTCAGCAGAAAAGAAGCATAAAATCTCTTTGCTTCCAATACACAGTTAAATCAAGTAAACTTTGTATCTCCAGCGTGCTCTTGCTGGAGAGCTATAAAGTTATTTATGATACTCAGACATAATTACTACTAAAGGATTTTTATCTAGAGCAGAACAGATCTTCAGGATAGATTCATCTTCAGGATAGATGTTAAAAGATTTCCTCAGAGTGTTCATGAGTTAGGGCAAATTCACTCAGAGATGAAAGACCAGTTGCAAAATTTCCTTGTGACCAGCAAGGAGTTTTTGGTACAGGTTTTGATGCAAGATACAATCAGGTCTTCTATACTGCTTCTTTCTGGCCTTATTTTTTGCTTAAATCACATGATCTGCTTACGTAAATCAGCCTCTTGATGACCACGCTTCCTCTGCTTTTAACCTAAAACATGCTTAATATGATTCAAATTGAAATATTTGGGTCTGGGGTTGAACTCAGTATTCTGGACTAATTGCTTCGTGCAGCTGTTTCAGAACTGCTGGGAAACCAGGATGTGCCTGAGCTCAGTAACAGTGCCCACAACCCCTCAAAGGCTGTATTTTCATAAGAACAAGATTTTACAGGTGATTTTAAAACCCCCAAACAAAAAAACCCCAATGAAACAGAAATCCAGCACCCCCCCCCCAAAAACAAACTTGACAAAACCAAACACGTGTTCCACAAAAAAACACCAACCAGACAGATAATCAGCCCCTGACCCCCCCAAAACCTTGTCCAAGTCCTATGTCAAAATTTGGTGTGAAAGCTGTTTTATGAATTTCCAGTTGATTGCTGTATGTTGCTGACATCTATATTTAGTTTCTCATCCCTATCAATACTTTCTGGGGGGTAGCATTAAAATTTCTGATTCATATTCTGTACCATGTACCATCTCAAAATGTAAATACTTGAAATGTTTCTTCCTTGATTTTTCCTTACACAATCACTTTAAGTTGCTATTTTAATCCCATTCCTCCCAGTTCAGTTACACGCAAAATAAAGATCGGATTGGTGAAGAGTTGCTGCTTTAAAGATTGTATTTTTCTGTTAATCCACGCACAACAGACACCTCGTGGAACAGCTACCTAATGGCAGTGCCTGATAAACCCACCGCCGACAGGCAGGCAGGGAAGGCAGTTCCGCAGCGTGTTTGCTCCGTGCGCTGCCAGCGGGCACTGGCTGCGATCCAGCCCCTCAGCGCTGCCGTGCCGGGGACCTGGCTGCGGAATTCCAACATGATTGCAGACGTCCTTGGAGGGGAGGAGCTCCTGTAGACACCAGCTGAAGCAAGACGCCTCACAAACCAAAGTTCAAGGTGAGAACCGTACTAGATGGTAGCTGATTTAAGAAAATTATTCCCGCCTCCCCTCCCTCCAGTGCAGAAAGCAATACTGGGTAAAAATATGTAACTTGGGGCTTGTTATTGCACAGGGTCACAGTCTGATACTTATGCTCACACTCAGCATGTCTCCCTGTACTTAAGGCAAGACTAGAAAAGGGAAGAAAAAGGCTATATAATTTCCTATTAAAAATTGACAGTAACAGTGCATTTTAATGCTGGTCACTGATATTTTGAGGAAAGGAAATTTAAAATGGAAGCAGTGATTAGCAATGACCCCTCTTAGCAGCAGGGAAGCTCAGGCATTGCTTGGTGAGGTTGGGGTGCATCTCATGATGCCTGCGTGCTGCTCTGACCCTGCTCTTAACACTGGATGGCACAGCGTTAAGTGCTTTTAACACCTGCCTGCTTGGAGCTCAGTAAGGGCTGGTTGGGAGTAGCTGAGTTCTTACCGGAACTTGTCGAGACCGTTTGGAGAAGGGCAGAGGCAGTTTCTGCTTACCTGGAGGAGATGATGTGATACAGTGGGGAAGGGGAGTGTTGTCTTTTCCCTGCTGAGTACAAGGGCAAATGTCTTGCACCAGGCTCATGGAGCAGTTTTCCGAGCAGCAGGGAGCAGGACAAGAAATCAAACAGCTTTTCCTAATACTTTGAAATTTGTTGCTGTCTCTTGTTTTTCTCTTGTGAAGGTGTATTTTGTGAAACCATTGCCACACTCTGGCTGTGATGCCTGAAAAAAATGGAAGAGTGAGTAGGCTCCAGAGAAACAGCACCTATGCTGAGCCATATGGCATTTTTGCTCTCTTGATCCACCTGGTTGACTATCATTACATGCTTTCTGGAGGAAAGTCTGCGTTTTAGTTCTGTGTTAGGGACAATGATGTCTTAGTCCATGGACAGGTATCCTACAGGCTGCAGTATTTTATGTAATTGCCATTAACTGCAGTGCTGTTTGTACACCAACTCAACAGGGATGGATCTCTGAGCTTTTGTAGAAGTGGTAGTTATAGAAAAGATAAAATTTAATTTTTCTTTAAGGAAAAAAGGAAGGTTCTAGATGTATAAACTCTTCCAGCCATGCCCTGCCTGCCCTGATCTGAATAGTCTCATTGATTTTAGTGGATCCATGCTAACTTGCACCTTCTAAGGATCTGCCCATCAATTTGTATTAGCTTTACAGCATGGGATGGAGCAAGAATATTGTGCAGGTAGAGGGAATACATGTATGTACACTCAGTTTCTTTTCTTTTTTTTTTTTTTTTTCCCCTAGTATCTGTGAATGTGTTTCAGATATCCAGCACATTCACAGAGAGGAAGGCAACATACTCTGTTTTAGTGCTCAGACTCCAAATGATAGAGGCAATGATATCCTTCCCCAGAGTCTTTTTCAAGGGGCAGGGACACGGAGCTTGATGTCTTGGTGAAATTCTCCTTTGCATGCTGCTGCTCTGCTTCCTGAAGTCCTTAAGATTTGGTTAGAAATAGCATTACACAAATCTTGAAATATTTGTCCTCATTTCTTGTTTTTCTTGTGCATGTCTAAATAGCACCAAAGTATGGCTGCCTTTGTGCCTGGATAAAGTCTTTTGATAAAGTCTTCTGTTCCCCGTGTCGTAGTGAGACTGCTTTTAATCTTTTCCGGAGCAAATGTTGACCAATATGCGTATATTTATTAAAAAAAAGGCACAAAAAATTCTGATTAAATAAATATTAAACATGAAGTTTTACTACTAAGGACCTATGCCAATGCAAGACTATTGTTTGCAAATCCTACAGAAATCCACTGATATAATCTACTAAAATTATTGCTTCAGAATAAAACAGTAGGAAGAGGCTAAGAGGGGACATTGTAAAAGGTATGGAAATTTGTGAAAGAAATGAAAAAAACATAAAATATACTTAAAGCCAAGTTTTATATCTTTCTTTTACCTACTTACTGCAATTTTGTAAATAATACCAGAAAATTAGTTCTTTGAGGCAGAACTATTTTGGGGAAATGTTTATTTTATGAGTGGCAGGATAATGAAACCTGGCTCCTGCAGGCGGGAGAACCTGCCTGTGCTACCATGGTAGCTCTTGCCTAGAGCCCGTACCAGAGCTCCAGCAGCTCCCCACACATCCAGGCTGTCCTGTCCCACAGCCCACCAACGCTGCAGGAGAGACTGGGGCTGATCCCCTGTTAAGGGCACCAGTACAGCACAGTCTGTGTCTGTATGTTCCTCCAGGTCAACAAATGAACTGCTTGGGCTTCTCAAAAAATGCTTTTTAAATTTTTGAAACATCTTCTTTCAGCATATATGTTTTTGGTGTGTTTTGTCTATTTGAGACACCTTTCTTAATGTACTACACTAGTTTTATGCATTTATGCAGATTTAGTTGGCCTTTTTGTTTCCTTTAATTTTCTGTCTTTATTCAATTTTAAAGGTAAATGAGTGCCATCTCATCTGAGTTTTAATCTGTCATTTCAAAGTTAAGTTTACTATTATCCAGAGCTTTCCCTCTCCTCTTTCTTCTTTGTTTAGGCTGTGTGCCTGCTCTTCAGGTTAAAGCCTCTGCTCAAAAGAAGCACATCTTTGTCAGGGAGAAAGGAAGCAAAAACTTGAGGTCATTCTTATTTTTTATTTCCAGTGATGTCAAACTTCCTCCTAATCCAGAAGGATTTGTTTAGTGCCCACTTTTCAGTCACCAAAGTTTTTGCCCGTGGACTGCCTTTTCTGGGTGTTTCCAAGGGTGAGGACAGCTGAGTGTGGCTGCTGGCCTGGCCTGAACTTGGCTCTGCACTCAGAGACTTCTCAAGCAGGCAATGATAAACTCCTGGGAAACTTCACATAGCCAAATCCATAAGTAGACCCAAGGCTCTTGCATTTGCTAATATAGTCTATAAAAATCAGCTTCCATATAATTTGAGGGTTTTTTGGGGGTGGATTTTATATATTCTTCCTGCAGGGAATCAGCATCTTCCTGAACTGTAAACTCTGGAATTTAATTTGCTCAACCTTGCTCCTGGCAGACCATTTCAAACCACTAGAACTTGCAATAGCAGAGAGAACAGGAAATGGTCCCTAACACCTCACTCTCCTCTGCTGGGCTCTGTGCTTAGGCTCTGCCTTTTTTGCAGCCATGCATCACCTCTGTGTGCAGATCTCGTGATGATCTCCATGGAGGCTTGGGCACTCAAGGCAGAAATATGAGCAGGTAAGTCAAGGTTGCTCTTCCTTCTCCTCCGTGTAATTACATGTGCTATGTTTTTGTATGGATAGTGCTTGTCTGTAGCAAGCACTGACAGACTGTTTTAATTCTCCAAAGCCAGTTTGAACACCTCACACAGATAAGCAGAACCCTGTGTGGATATCTGGATGTGAGGGGGAGGGCATGGGGGAATGTACTGGGGTAATTTTCTGGGTCTGGATTTAGACATGACATCCGTTGGAGGACATCCCTTGGCTGATGCTAAGGATGGAACACAATGAGAAATCCAGGGCAACTTTTCCTCCTTTGTGCATGGAGAATGTTTACTGGGGTCAGCAATAGGGAAATCATAGAATCACAGAATGGCCTGGGTTGGAAGGGACCTCAAAGATCATCTAGTTCCAAAGCCTCTGCCACGTACAGGGACACTTTTCAGTAGACCAGGTGGCTCAGAGCTCCATCCAACCTGGCTTTAAACACGTCTAGGGATGGGTCATTTACAAGTTCATTATCTCCTTTGTCTTTACTGGATAGTTTGAAGAAATGGAAACATAAATATTGAATTACAAAGATGCGTTTTCTGTAGTCTTAGAATTAACACATACACGATAAAGAAGAATTTTAGGTCTGCTGTGTTCAGTTAGCCAGTGGGTACATTAAAGTTTTGGCTCTTTGTACTCACAAAGCACTTTTCCCTCTTTCTGTTGGTGCAAATGCCTTGAAATGGATCAATGTTCCCCTGGTTCGTTGGCAGCATCTCCCCCTGTTGTCCAGCTCAGACAATGCAGCGCTCTGCACCATGAGGAAGGCGACACATCTCCCGTTCTTTGTGAGCTGATATCAAGTAGACAGACACCTTCTGAAGTTTTGTGCATGCTGTGCGCTTTTTTTCTTTGCTGCAACAAGAAAAGCCTTTTCTTTTAACCTGGCTTCCTTTGAAGAAGTAACTCAGGAAGCTTCATGGCCTCTCAAGGTAAGTGCATCTATAGTCTGTATTTTTAGATCATGTTTACAGAAAACTACAGTCTTGTACGTTTCCAGCAATCAGCAGTCTGATGAAATGAGTGTTTCAGGCTAAAACCACATCAGTCAAAGCACGGTTGTTTTGCCTTCCTTTAATTTTTCAGCATCCAAGAGGCTCCTAAGGAGACTAAAATCTATACTAGGATGTTATTTGAATAAAATATGTTATAAAATGTTAGCATCTGCATTCAATTATAAAATTTAGTGTTTGTATCTTTGTGCTTAAACCTATCGGTACAGAATGCATGGGAAGGGCAGGTACTGAGCCAAGGGTACCCCTGTTTTTGCACACTTCTTCCCTATTCCACTTTGAAAATACTACATCAGCAAATGATTTTCACATTCAAAACTGGCCAGAATCCTGCTAACCATGTATGGAAAATAATATCTGAAGAGTAACTGAATTTAATCATATTACTCCTATCTGGGTTTATCTTTGTCATGTATTGACTTTTAGTAGCAGCTGGTTGGGTACTCAGGTGTGCAGAGGCAGATATTGGCCTAGGGAGTTTCAGCACTATCTATCTATGTTTGTCAAATTTTTACCCCTCTTTTTTGCTCCAAAAATACTCAAGACATTCTGCATTTAGAGCATTAAAGGTACACAGCAGCAAGCAGTTTTTACAGCACTGTTGTACTCTAGCTATATAGGTGGGGTTTTTTATTTTGCTTCACTTTAGCCATATAAGAGAGGTCTGGTTTTGCATATTTTTGATGTGTATCAGTTAGTAGAAGCAGTGAAATAGTAATGGTGTGAAATATAGTGTTTAGAATGAATAAATTTGATAATATACCTCATTTAGGAACATGTAACTCTATAAATTATGTTTGTACAGAATACTCGCTGTATCATACAGTAACTTTTAAGTTTTTCTATATTAGAAATGAAATGGGAATCATCCATAAAAATAGTCAAAGTGTCAGAGTAGCTCGGATTGTCATTAATATTTAACGTATTTACTGTTTGATTTTTGTATAGCTTAAAATTTGACAGGTAGAACTGCAATTTGTTGTCTTTTTTTCTCTTTATTATTCAAGAATAACACTAACACTGGGCCACTTCGTGGCATTTCATGTAACAACAAGAGTTACGGCAGTAACAGAACCCTGTGAGGTAAAATGATGCAGAAGAGCATATAAAATATTTATTACCCAGTTATACATTTTTAAAAGCCAGCTACAAATTCAAAGGGGTTACTTCTTCCTGTGGTCTCAGACTTTGAAAGAAAGCAGTGGCTGCAAAGACAAATTAAGATCAAAATATTATTAAATGATGAATCTTTCACAGTGAGTTCAAATAATACTAAAGGATCTCATTTAAACCCACAACAGCAAAAGAGAGATTCAGACTTGGAGCCAAAATTCCTTCTGGACCTCAAACCCCATCGTGCCTAAGTATTGTCACACATGAGATAAAAATTATCAATTTGGGGACTGCTTTACTGCAGAATCACAGGGGCTCAGCTAAATACAAGAATTTGCCATTTATATGGGGAGAGCTTCACAGAATCAGCTAGGCTGGAAAAGACCTCTGAGATCAACTCCAACCGAATACCACCTTGTCAACTAGACCGTGGCACCTAGTGCCACATCCAGTCTGTTCCTAAACACCCCCAGGGACAGTGACTCTGCCACCTCCCTGGGTAGCCCATTCCAATGCCCAATCACTCTTTCTGTGAAGAAATTCTTCCTAATATCCAACCTAAACCTTCCCTGATGCAGCTTGAGACTGTGTCCTCTTGTCCTGTCACTGGTTGCCTGGGAGAAGAGACCGACACCCACCTGACTACTACCTCCTTTCAGTTAGCTGTAGAGAGTGATGAGGTCTCTCCTGAGCCCTTTCCAGGCTAAACACCCCCAGCTCCCTCAGCCGCTCCTCCTAGGACTTGTGCTCCAGACCCTTCACTAGCCTTGTTGCCCTTCTCTGGACCTGCTCTAGCACCTCAATGTCCATCCTAAATTGAGGGGCCCAGAACTGGACACAGGACTCGGGGTGTGGCTTCACCATTGCCGAGTACAGGGGAAGAATTACTTCCCTGGTCCTGCTGGCCACACTGTTCCTGATACAGGCCAGGATGCCATTGGCCTTCTTGGCCACCTGGGCACACTGCTGGGTCAAGTTCAGCTTCCTGTCAATCAGAACCCCCAGGTCCTTTTCTGCCTGGTCTCTGTCCAGCCAGTCTGTGCCCAGCCTGTAGCACTGGGGAGTTGTTGTGGCCAAAGTGCAGGACCCGGCATGTGGCTTTGTTGAACCCCATACCATTGGATTCAGCCCATCTATCCATCCTTTCCAGGTCCCTCTGCAGAGCCCTCTTACCCTCCAGATCTACACTCCCCCCCAACTTGGTGTCATCTGCAAATTTGCTAATGGTAAATTCAAGTTGCTTTTTCTTGTTCTGGTAGAGCCAATGTTGCTGAAGGCTGAGGAAAGATGTGCTTAATAAAACCAGTAGGAGTTTGTTGGCAGTCAAATGACTAAAGTGATCACAGTGCTGTGGGAGATGGTGCCTGAGCATGGGGTGTGGGCAGACAGGTGCCTGTAACAGTAAATGCCCTCGTTACCTTCACAGGACTGGCCAAGGTAACCATCACTGTGTCCTAAAGGTGTTTGTGATAGCAAACCAGAAAACACAACATAACTGTACCTGAACTTTTCCTTAAGATAGTAATGAATAATACACTGTAAGAGGCTGTGTAGATTTTGTTACCAGCATTGTAACATCCCACTTGGAGAATCTGAGATCCCTGGAAAAGTTGTCTCTAATTAAGAGAAAATATGCGTGCCCTCAAAATGCTAGAGAGCATTTTGGTGGGGGCCAGCCCTCAGCAACTCAGTGTATACTGGCACACAGGGCAGCTCACAAGGAGCAGTGCTGGGTGACCTGTGCTGAGGAGCTTGTGGCCACCCTGTGTGTGAGTCCAGACCAGCTCCAGCCTTGTCACACAGGCTCTGTGCTCACAAGCCGTCTGAGGAGATCAGGTGCTCTCCAAAACCACATCTCCTGGTTTAGCTTCATCTGCAGTGATTCCACTTTGCATATTCTAAGGCTGCTTTATAAAGTAGATCAGAGCGCTTGAAGTGTGGGACAATCAGGAAATTTGTTTTGGGTCCTGATTCCTGATCTGAACTAAAGTATGGATAGAGTCACATGCAAAATGTGATGTTATTGTTCCAGGTTTGATCCAAGAAGCTAGCTGCTCTTTGACCCTGTTAATTTCTAATTTTTTTTTCCTTTTTTTTTCATGTAGAATCTCGGGGACAAACCAACCCCATCTTTAAGGATTACCTCCCTGGTTCTTCTGACATTCCTGAACAGAATAAGCCTGTTGAACCAACAAGTCTCTGGAAGCAAACATCACACACTCATAACTTGCCACCTGGTCTAGAGTACCTGAACCAGGTCCTGAATCTTTCCAAATGTTAGAAATTTTATGTTTTCCTCGTATGCTGCTTTGATACCTTGGGGGATGAGGTGGTTTGGGTTTTTTCCTTGGGGGAGGGGTAGGTGGAGATGTAGAGGCTTTTTCTTTGCGTGATATTACTGTGAAATAAGGAGCGTAGGAATAACAAGCTCTTTCTTCATTGCTGTCATTCATTTTTGTAGGAATTAATTTGTTATGCATGCAGCTCTCCTTGCACCAAAACCATTGTTTTCTTCCTTTTAGGACATTTTCTAGGTCATAGTATTACGAGTCTCATTGTTCCCCCAGTTTCCTTCCAGCTCTTTAAGAGCTCACCCTCAGGGAAATGGCTGTTAAACTCCAGCTGGCCTCAAAAAGACTAAAGCAGGCAGTGTGTGAAGGAACTGTCACCTCCTTATATCTCATTCTTTGAGGAACATCAGAGTCTTCTGAGCAAGTTCCTTCTGCCTCTGCAGGTTAGAGGCTTGCTCTCCTCAGGAGGCAAGCTCCCAAGGAGACAGCTTAGTTGAGCATAAGCCTGGGTGGCTACAAACCTGCACCCACCCTTTGTGGGGTTGAGGGGGAGGAAAGTGCTAATGCCTGAGAGAGGGAAATGCTTGGAAATGGGAGCAGACAAGTAGGCCACAAGGAGGGAAGGAGAGGGAATGCTTAAGTGTTCTCCATCCCACTGCTAAGTGTGTGGCTGTTCCTCTCACTCTGAAACCTCTCAGGTCTGGGAGCTTACAGCTGTGACAATCTGCAGCTTTGGTGCTTTGGTGCAACTTTGGTGCAGAAGTTTCATATCTTCCTGAAATTTTTTACAGGAAGGTCACTCCCTGGTGTCACTTTGACACTGACTCCAGTCTGCATTTCATATGTGGCTGGATTCTGCCACTCTCATATATGCTGTATGAGGCATCCTACTCCCTGCCTGGTATGGGCAGGGACGGAATCAGGCCCCCAGTGTAGTCAGGTCATAATTCTGATACCCACATCTCTGCTGTGTTTGCATTTTGGTGATGATGGGAAATGTTACTTCACTCAAGGTCTATATTTTAGGCACATGTTTCTAGTAGTTTTGTATAGAAGCAGAAATTGAATGTATTTTATATTTGGAGCTAAGTTACCTAGCTAGCTAATGAAACTGGAGACCCTTCAAAAACAGTCTTTCCTGTGGAGTTATGACTTTCATTTCAAGGTGCCCAGGCACAAAATGATATGTGTTGTCAATGACACGAGCATTTGCTTACAGACTGTGGAAGCTACATTTTTTAGTCTAAAAGTGATTTTGATAGTAAATACTTGGCAGGTTACATATCCAGGCTCCTGTACGAACATGAATTACACCTCAGATTTACCTAGACAATGTGGGCAAGCAAATACTATCGCTCCATTTTATAAAAACTTTACATCTGATATAAAGACAAAAAAGCAAGTTGCTTTTAGAACTGTAACTGGAACTGAAGACCTCATTCATGCTTGCTCTTGGCCCCATAACCATATGCCTGTGCTGCTAAGTGTTCTTAATTTTCTCTGCAGTCTGAAAAGTGGGAAGCGTGTGTGCCATGCTGATTGTCAGCATACACCCACAGCTCGAGTTTCTGTGCATCACAGAACATTTTGGTGTGTGATGCTGAAGTCATACTGTCTGTGTGACTAATGAAACAGGCTCATATAGGATAGATTGGAGCATAAAGGAGATCCCACCAGCAGGGAGAGTGCTGTCTGCAGAATGAATGTGGGATTCACAGCTGCCAGCATAATCACTTGGGATTTATCCTGATGGACTCAGAGATTTTTCACGTAATGAAATTCTCCAATGAAGATGTTTCCAGCAGAATTGGGAATTTTTTTTTTTGTGCCACTAGAAGACTGTGTATCCTTCTGGTGCTGTGTGTATTGGGGAAAGGTGGGTCCAAACTGAAACAGGCACAGACAGGTGCTACTGGAAGGGCATGGGGAATAGAGAACCTGTTTTAAAATGAGACTCCAGTTGTTTCATCTTTTAGACTAAAAAAACACCACCAGAGAGGGAACCATGACTGAGTACCTAGAAGAGTAAACAACTTGTGGGAAAGAGACACATTTAATTTATAGAATTATATTACTGGAAGAAATATTATATAGAAAGTGGTTGTGAATAAATACAGGATATCAAATAGAAAGGACATTCTGGGATTATCTCAAGCCTGAGTGGGGAAGATAGCTGGATAGATTCGAAAAAGCTGAATATATTTCTTAATAAGAGCATGATATGTTTGACTCTGAAACAAGGATGCAGATTTAGTGAATCTCAGAGGGATCCCTACAATCTTATTCTAAATAGCAACTCAAGGACACAGCATACAGTGTTGAATGAGAGGAAAGGAAAATATCTGTCCTATACTTTAAGGCCTGACAGCAATATTTCACTCTGCAGATACGGAGTTCAGCTGAAGGAGCAATTCAATCAGCTGTTTAAGGTGCACCAGAGAAGGGCAAAAAAATGCTTCTGCCTCAGCAAACAGATACCATGCTTTCTATAACTATCACAAAAGTGACACTATTTAAATAATTTCCAAGCAAAATGTACCCAAACCTCATTATTATCTTCCAGATCACAGCCATAACTCGAAGAACTGTTCAGTGTCCATCATAAAAATCAAAGGAACCTTTTCCAGCAGCAGGAATAGACAAGAGAGAACTCGGAGAAAAATTTTCTGATTAGCTCAGCCTCATGTTGTGCCACCATTCAGGCTTAACCGATTTTGTAAAAAACTTCTTAGTTTAGGCTTGGTTAGACTGATCAGATGTAAATGTAATGCCCACAGAACTGAATACTGAGAATTAGCTGTGTATAAGGAATTGTAACATATCTGAGCTCGAGAGGACCAGACCCTTGTAAACCAAAGGGCTTTGGATGCTTTCAAATGCAAGTGCAGAATTCCCTTAATCCACAAGTGCCTCAATAAAAATGCATCAGAATAGCTGTCTTGCAGAAACCAGTGAAAGGGAAAACAAGGCTAACAAGTGGTACTGCTGTGTTTTCTCAACATTGTTTATACATTGGGCACAATAAACCAATACACAGACCAAAATCACTCAAAGCTTTTAACAGTTCAGGCTCATTAATTTTCTTTTCCCTGTGAAAGTCTACGTGGGGCAAAGAAATCCATATTAAAATAAATACTAAAATATTAAAATAGCCCTAATATCTTTAACTTGTTTATTCTATTTTCATCAGCAGAGCCCTTCCTGTGAGCTCCAAGAGTTCACATCTCTCATGAAACCTAAACAAACAGCAAAGATTCTTGGGAGAATATTTTTAAGTCTAAATATTTTTTATTATTTCAATTACTGGCATGCACATTTCAGAGATTAATGAAAGGGATAAAGAAGTTCCTCTTTTTACCAGCTTTTCTTTGCAGCCTGAACTAGCTGCAGGAGATGACTAGAAGTGACAAATGGCTGCAACAGTTTGAATACGTACCAGGCAAGATTTATCAATTGTAGAATATACAGGCACTGGAGAGCTGTGACATGCTGGTCTCAGAAGGTTGCTGTGTGCTTTCTGTCTGCAGCTGTGAGTAATGGCAAGACCCTGTGCCAAGCGTTTGCCCATCAGGAATTTACGGAAAAGACTGGTAAAGCCTAAATATACTGTCACATAAAACAGGCATTAAAGTCACATAAAACTGAAAGGTAGACTGAAATTAAGTCTTGCTGGTTTTATAATACCAACAACTGTTCTCTAAAGAAGAATAATGTCAGAGGGGCGATAAGCACAGCAAAGCTGGGTATCATAGCAAGCAGTTTTTCTCCTGCATTTGTAACCAGCTCATGGGGTAAGAAAATTTCAACCAGCTAAGGTTTCTTTGTGGAACTCCCGTTTTGCTCATTCTGGCACCCTTGGCATGACCATTTGCCAGATTTAGGATGCAGAGCTCCTGTGCCTGAGATTAGAGCACTAAAGCTCTTGTGTGCCATTGTTGGCATCCCCTGATTGCCCTGCTGGGCTGCTCCAGCAGGGCCCTTTGAGATGTGGTTGCAGCACATTTTAAGCTTGAATCCAGACTTGTTCCTTCCTGTGCTGCCGTGGTGCCCAGCACCAACCTTACCTTTGGTGTAAGGGGCTTCCCCTCTGCCAAGGAGGAGGAACAGGAGCAAGAAGTGGATCCTGCTCCTCACACACAGCTTTCTATTGCTGTTGCCTTCCTTATTCCTCCAGGAAGACTATTTTTATTCAAATGTGTGGGTGAATTACATGGCCACAGCACCCAATGTCACATTCTTCAGCTGTCATTTCAGACAGAATTCTAAAGTGTGATTGAGACAGCCCTCAGGCACCCAGCCTGTGCACCTCTGGAAGGAAAGAAATCCTAGTAACAGGGAGAGGAGCAATAAAAATAGACAGGTGACCACTGACAGCCCCAGACCTATCCAAGACCCACCATCTTGTTTATTTTTTTTAAACAGCTGGACCGGATAATTATTCATCAGCAAGTGGAGCTTCTGGAAGGTATGGTGCAATCCTCATCACTCTTTAACAATGCTGCTATACAGGTGTCTCCAAAAGGCTTCCCAAGTCTTGCCCCTCCTCACTGAAGTCACTGTGAACCCTCTCAGTGCCCTTGTGTCAGGCTGTAATGAGGCGACAGTGTGGGAAAGGCTCACTTTATTGTATGCCTGTTCTGCAGCAAACCACTGAGAAGAGAAGGATTACAGGGAGTAATCTGTACAACAGTCCTAAATTCTCTCCCAGACACTTCCCTCTCAGTGTTATTAAAGTTTGACCATCATTTCAATCCATGGAAAAATTTACTGTCTTTAACAATAATTAACGTGCTATGAGGAACAAAGCAAATAGAGAAATGAAGATCAGAAGACACAAAGTGAAGCATAAGAGTTTCTAATTACATGGTTTCTCAGAATTTCAAAGTACTGAGCAAGTATTAAGTTCTGCAAGTAAAATGTATTTCTCCCATTCAAAATGATTTTGATCTGATTCTTGAATGACCCTCTTGAATGACCCACTGGGTGAAAGCTTAGTCACTGAGGTGGGACAGCCTCATAGTATTACTTTTCACAGATGATACAGTAAGAAAAAGCCTAAACCAAAACTCAGGATATAAATTCTGTTTTATGATGTGTACTTTAGCATATGGCAAATCAAAGTCTTTGAACTAATTTCTTCAAAATACAGACCTGGCATTATTATTTCTTTTTAATTGTGTATTTTTTTGTGTCATTATTTCAAAACACTTTTTTAACAATCTGTTTAAAAAATCTGTATCTTTAGAATATACACCCGTATATGTATAGACTAACATTATACTAAGTTAATGTTCCACTTGTTTTGCTTTATTAGCCATACTTGGCACAGAGACCTCCAGCAAATATGAGATAAAAAACCATTTGGGACAAAGAGTTTACTTTGCAATAGAAGAAAATGATTGCTTTGACCGTAACCTGTGTTCGCCTATAAGGTCGTTCACCATAAGGATCGCGGATAACACGGGCCGAGAAGTGATTAGAGTGATCAGACCCTTGAGATGCAACAGCTGCTGGTTCCCCTGCTTCCTGCAGGAGGTAAGGGAATCCTAGATGCTTTTTGTTCCAGCGTCCTGCTGTATGTGCACAGCATTAATGAAGCTTCCTGCAGTTCTGCGAGGGTGGCAGGAAGGAATTCACAGCCACTTCTCATCCTGGGGGATTGGAGGCCTTCCTTTAGAAGTGCTCTTGATAAACGAGGCCCTTCTATGAGCTACGTTCCCAGTGCACCTCCTCCCTTTCATGGAACCTTGCTTTCCTTGCATGCCACTTAAAGCTTCTGTGTCTGATGATACAGGCATCTCTCCATTCACATCACATCCCAAAATACTGCTTGCCCTGACACAGATGGAGATCACCCACTGTGGTCCAGGAGGGTGACGGATGGAAAATCCCTGGAGGCCACGGGTGTGTGTGGGTATGACTGGGAAGCAGCTCTCTGAGGAGGCTGATGCTTTGGTCTGTGACTCTGCCTCTTCCAGGCCACACATCTCTGGGAAATTGCAGAAAATGGAAGTGAGCTGCTTGGAGTGAAAAATGGAGATACCGTAGAGTATCAGATATTTTTTAATTGACTTCCATATTTTTGACTTCTTTCTTGTTTTATGAAAATGTTTTACATTACACTTACCTTCTCAGCCCTTCATCAGGATTTAAAAAAAAAGATCCCTTGGTAGCACAGCTACTTAAAAAAAGCTTATAGGATACTCGCTGATTACAATAACAAAATCTTTTCACAGTGTATGGCTTTTGTAAAGTCTTACATATAAGATGTTCAATCACTTCTGGTGGAGCTTTTGAGCTTCATATTTTCCACTATATTTAAAAACACCATTAGACTGTTTTGCAATATCCAATTCACTGTTTGGTAAATTTATATATCACTATATGCAATAAATAAGTGTTTTGGCATTATATAAACTGTATGCTATCATGGAAAAATATACTAATATAAAATTAGTTTGAAACATTTTACTGTTTTTTTTTCCTTTTGTTTGCTAGTTAGAAGTTCAGTCCCCACCAGGTACAACAGCTGGGTATGTTGTACAGAACTGGGACCCTTTTCTGCCAAAGTTTACTATACAGAACCAAAGTAAAGAAGATGTACTAAAAATAATTGGCCCATATGCAACCTGTGGCTGTTTTGAAGATGTTGACTTTGAGGTATGTTTCTTATGAGTGTTAAGAATTTAAAAGTTTTACTGTTTTGAATAAATTTCTCAGGTGAGAGGGAGAATGGGAGATGCTTGAAGAAACCTTAAATGGAGTTTTCTGATATGAACAAAGTGCTTTGCCTTAGTTGAGAACCATAAAAGAACTTTTGGGTTTATCGAGTTATTACCCAAATCAGAAGACTCCAGTGGGTACTGTCTGAAATTTCAGTATACTGTAAGAAGCATGCAGATGGCTATGTCATTGAGAACATGTCTGTCCCCTGAGGGGACAGGGGTCCACAGCAATGTGACGAGGAGCATATCGGGAACACGAGACAGGGAAAAGCCAACACTGTGAAAGAGGAACAAAAGTGTAAACTTTCACAATTGCTTTCCTCCACTTTTCTGTCAGTTCTAAAGATGCTGATTTCCAAACTTGAGACCCTTTCTTGTGTGCCACTCCTAAAGGCAAATTTGACACTAATAGAACATCTCGGCAATAAGAATAAAAGAAGAACCTGACAACTATAGCATACTCTGCATGTCAGGGCACATTCATTAATTCTGTGGAGATGTCATCAGTGTGCACTTGATTTATTTACATTTGTGTCTGCTCCTATTTTTTATTTGTGCAGGTAAAAGCTCTCAATGAGATGACAACAATTGGCAAAATTTCCAAGTACTGGTCTGGATTTGTAAACAACGTCTTTACCAACACTGCCAACTTTGGGATCCAGGTCCCTGTAGATCTTGATGTGAGAATGAAGGCAGTAATGATTGGTGCTTGTTTCCTCATTGTAAGTATGCACTGTGAAAAGGTAGGCCTCTAGAGGTATGCAGACTGGGGCCAGAGGGTCCATTGGTATCAGCTGTGATCCTACAAAGGTGTAAGTGCAGTGGAAAGCCAAACCCAATACCTAAAAGATAAATTAATTGAAAATATTTTAAATTTTATGTCTGCTTTTGTTTTTTAGGTTTCTTAATTTTTTGTTTCTTAAATAGTTTAAATAGTATTACACATGCAGTCCAATATTTTATATGGTAGGATCAAATCTCAACATGTCAAACCTACAAAACTCCCTCAAGCCCCTTATTGTTTTTGAACAAGTGTATGAGCCAAAAAAAGTTATGTTGTTTCTAATGGTAATTTCAAACCAATTCAATAGTTCTGTTGAATGTTGCATGTAAGACCTCCGGGTCATATAAAAATTCCTACAAAAATTCCCTTGTGAAGATGATTGTAAGATAAGAATTTTATGAGAAGAATACTCAGTGTTAAGGGTAAAGATGAAGTTACGATGCCCATTTTCTAGAATTATAAACTGATATTCATTGTGTATCTCTTCTGCCAACACAATTGTGTCAATATTAACATGCAGTGGTTTCACAATCATCTGTGATACAGAAAATATAAAATAAAAACCTGTTTAAATTACTCACTGAAAAGTGTTTGCTTTAAAATTGCTAGAATTCAGAAATTTTGCTTTTGTTAGGATAGAACTGACAGTTAGGGTTATTGAATTGTCCCCTCCAAAACTCCTGTTGCTCAGTGGCAGTGATAGAAAGTGATTGCCTAATCTAATTACTTTGTGTAATAAATGCCTACAAGTAAGACTTTTGATAGTAATTGTTCATTTTTATGCCTTCCATCTCTAATTCACAGTTTGTTTATTTGTAGGACCTAATGTTCTTTGAAAACTCTTTGGATGGATTATAACAAGATGACAGAAACAATGAAATATGCAGAATGTGTTTCAGTAGGTAAAAATGAACATAAATTGGTCGTCTTGCTTTGAAGACTTATACATTAGATACTTTCTAATTCTTTTTCATTTTCTTCCAGAATTCACTTGAGCTTTGGACGTGATTTTGAACTGCAAAAATCCTTGTTCCTTATAGGAAAAGATAGGGAGCTAATGATGATGTTTATTAAAATATGTCTCACGTAAATAATAATTTGCCACTTACACTTTATGTGTGTTGTAGCTAAACACATACTTTTCACACAGAGCGCTGTTGCTTTGGAACAGTGCTATTCTCTTCTTTCTCTTTTGATGTTCCTGCATGGAAAATCATGAAAGGTTAGATGAAGGCTTGCAGCATCATTGATGAAAGTCTGTGTTTAGAGAAGCCTTTGATGTTTTGCAAGTGCTGGTACCAGTTACTAACCAGAGTGTGTTCTGGGGGTGTTGCTTCTTTATAATTTTAGAAGTAATTTTCTGATATTTTATTTAATTAATAGTAGCAAACTGATATTGAAAGTAACAAATATAAGGACATCACGCCATGGGAAGTTCAAGATGTTACCTGTTCCAGTGTGTTGAAAGGAGGGAAGTTATGTTGGCAGGTAAATTAGTTTTATGACAAAGATTGTTTTGATGAGTGGCAGCCAGAAATTAGGCTTCCAGCACTAGACTTGAGAATGTTAGCTCTATTCAGAAAATCTGGGCTTCCTCTATTTCCACTGAAGGTAGGCCATATATAAGATTTGAGAGATGGTCCTCTGTGTGCTAGAGGCACACAGAGCACTTCACTTTGAACTATCTAGTGTTAAGGATTCTTGCTGCCATCCACTCAAGGTTTTCCTTAAAAGGTTTGTTCTTTATAATATCTAGTGGTTGATAATTTTTCATTCAGACTTGCCTGAGGCCATACTAGAACTGAATTATTCTTTTCCTTTGGCAAGCTCAGGTATTTTCTGTGACAGGGCTGTGCAAAAGGAGCTTTTTGTAGTTCAACGGTTGTACATAGCTGTTCATCCCTGCAGTAACACCTCATACTGTTCCCAAACATTCCCACTAACAGGTTTTTACTAATACAAGTTCATTTGTTGAAAAATCTGTGATATATATAGAAGACATAAACAGAAATTTTTTTTTGTTGCAAAATATTTGCTGTATGAACTTGCTTACGCCTCCCAAAAACTCCAGCGGGTCCTTCAAGAAGCAGTCCAGTACCCTACAATATTGGTGGTAAACCCAACAAAGTCACCAGTCAAGTTTCTAAGGGGAACATTTTACAAATCACTGGAAATGCTGGATTTTTTTTTTTTCAGTGTGAACCAGTAATTCAATTCTTGAAAACAACCAACACATCAACGGAAAGAGAGGAGATAATGAATAATTCATAAAAATGAAAAAGAGCTAAATTTATCAGGTGATTAATTCTCAACAAATATTTAGACTAATTTTAAATTAATGTTCATGGATATGAATTCAAACACAGTGAAGTCAGGAAGTTGCAACTAACGTTCCCATAGTGAAATTAACTCAGGAATGCTTATAGATTTAAACAGTATGTTTTAGATTATATACCACACTTAGGTATTTATACAGATTTACATATGTCTTGAAAATAATTGTGGTTAACAAGCTCTGACAATCATCATTATCTGTTAACCATTTCATTACTGGCTCTCGCTGTAACTCTCAGCAGTGCAATCAGGCTGCACAAGTTATGAGCTCACAGGGAACCATTGCTGCCACTTTTCCCGGGAGGAACACCCTGTGAGCTTCGTGGGTAAGAAGCTCCCTCGTGTGGAAATTTGTGGATTTGCAGAGGAATAAAGGATGCTTTTTGCTATTCTCGCTAATTTCACACTCTTAAATTCAGCCCTTTAACTCCTGACTTACTCTAATGTAGACTGAGAAAAAGAACCAGATCTTTATATTATTTTTTTTCTTTAAATCCCTTTTCCATTTTAGACGGAAGTGAGTATTGTTGTAGTCCATAATCTTGGGTCTTGTGCAAAACCATGTTCGTGCACTGTTGTTGAGCTGTGTGTGTCTGAACTCTGAGCTGGATACAGAGACTGGTAAGATCAGCAGGATCCCAGCCTATCTCTCACTTTTCCTCTGCAATTTCACTCTTCTTATGACCCTTAATAAGCCAAAGACACCTCTGAAGCAAATCTGTCCTACCTCTTTTGAAGTCAATACAAAATAGGGTTTATTTACCTGCAGGGCTGAGTTTGGCTATGAGTGTCCACGTAAATACCTTGTAGGTAAGCAATACATGAAAATATTTTTTTATGAATTGCAACCAGATGATAATACTGGATTTCTTGCACTTAGTGACTTTATTGCTGTTTTGTGTGTTAATACAACTTTTTTTGCTGTTAATGTGTATGTATATGAGTATGTTTGAATGCCTCTGGTTACAGTTAGAGGCAGCCCCTAGGACTTACAGAAAGAGGCTCAGCCCCTGAATAAAACAAGCACTGGGGCTAGGATAGCTCTTTCTGGTTAGAACTCCTTCAGCAGCCTGCTTGACTGAATTTCTGGTAGAAATTCAGTGCCAATACCAGTTCTTTTTTCACCTGGAAGGTCGTTCATCCAAACCACAGCTGCCAAAGGCAAGTATTCATCCTCAGCAAAGATGATGGAGTTCTGAGTGATATTACTAAAGGAGAGCTAACGTGTACTGAGATTTTAATAACCTGCAGCTTATTAATAGCAATGTGTTTCACATTATGGGAGCTATGCATGCTCACCTTTCCCAGTTCCCCCACAGGCTAGGCATGGCTCTCCAAAGGAGAATTCAGTATCTCCCAAAGGGTCACAGGTATTCTCTAAACCAAATTCACGTTCTGGTTATACTCTAGAAAGAAACATGATAGTTCTAATGAAACAGAAATTTTACTTAATCCATCCAAGCATATATTTTCACTCGTAATCACTAACCCAACTGTAAATCTATGTAGCACACACTCCTTGTGTTCAGTAGATGGCAGCAACAGCTCATTATGACAATATTTACCTTTTCACACATCATAAGCTGTACCCAGGATGCTGATTAAAGTTCAACATACCTTTAACCTCTAATTGAATTCTACTCTTAACTGGAGGATTTTATTTTCTGTATCTGATATTAAACCTTTGTCACATGATGCTGGGTCATCTTTGTTGTCTGCAACTTACAGCTGAACTGTTGGTTATTTTATGAGATGTGTTTGAGGCATGGGCAGAATACAGTCTACCATAAAGTGAGCTCTTCTGGTCAGCACTAAACCTATTTTTTGCACCTGGAGCATCTCTCCAGCTTCCACAGGTGGACAAAGGAGAAGCCCCAGCCCCAGGGCACTCCCCACCTTCTGCAGAAACAGAAAGTGCCATGTCTAAAAGAGATTGCTTTGTGGTGGTGTCCCTAGAAATGCAGACGTTTTCTGTGGGTAAAATGTCATGTCATGCCATGTCATGACAGTCTGTCACTATGTGCTGTACTGAGACAGAGGGATGGAAACCCCCTGTGGTGCCACAAACCCAGATGACACCAATACCTGGGAAGGAGCTGGTTTGTCCCTGGGAAGATCGTAAGAGAGTAGAGACCCATTATCTCTGTAAGTTCTGAGATTTTTTTGTTGTCTAATAATTTGCTGGCTGCAAAAGTCTCTTCATAGACTTTGATGTGTGTATTGAAAAAGTAATTTTGTGTCAATTGGGTTATTTGTTTTAGGATTAGATAAACCTGGAAATGATCCAAAATACACATTTTCTAATAGAGTTGACTAAGTGGAGCTGTTTGGGGAAAAAAAATATATGAAAGTTTCTCCTCCTGACCCTCATCTTAGTTGTATTGATTTCTTTTCAATTAGAATGGTATGTTCCATGTTAGAATGATAAATATTAGTTTAATTCAAAGATCAACTTTAGGTTTTAAAATGTGCTTTTTCTTCCCTAAAACTGGATCCCTTAGAGGGCAAAACCCACTTTAGCTCCTTAGGGAAAATTACCTCTATACTGTGAAAGGAGATTTTTTTTTTCTGGAATCCTGAATGTTTTTCTAAACTTGATCCCTCTTAGGAATAGCTTCCTTAATGCCAAATCATGACTGAAGTACTCTAGTAGCACCTGCCACAAGACAACATCTTAGTCATGACTTGTCAGCATTTTATTACTTCAGTCATCTGAAATGTAGTTAACAAAACAATTTTAAACATAATAGTAATTACTTTTTGGAGAGAGACAGCCCAGGACAGATAAAACTTTCCTCTTTCTTATGTATTTGTTAGTATTATGCTTACAAAAGCACATGAATGTTCACAAAAGAAAGGTTAGAAGGACAGAGACTGATGGGTGCCCAGTGGCTGTGCCCCCAAAGTATGTTCATTCCTTTATCCCAAGTGACAGTGAACTCCTGCCACTGTGAAAAGGAGACCTTCAGGTGACTTTACATTGTTATGCATCTCCTAAATTGACACTGAAAATTCATCTCAATTCATAACTAGGTCTTATTCTCCAGTCTCTCTTTGCAAAAGCAATACAGAGACTTCTCACCTCTATTCTCACTTTAATTTTCTTCTGGGAAAGAAGTATAAACATTATATTACACCATTTCAGTAGGAATCAAAGTCCTCATCTGCTCATATCCATCAGACCTATTTGGAAGTTGCAGATTTTATACAAACCTTCTGTATGAATGTTCACAGGAGTACATAATCCAACCACCCTCAGGTCACACTGACCATGAGAGATACAGTGAGGTTCATGTTGGTGGACTGTGTTTCCAGTGTGGAGTTCCTGGGGTTGCCTACAAAGCAAAGTACTCACAAAGCTGATTTGTCAGTCTTGATTTTGGAATAACTTTACTGTATGACATGGATTAAATCTATCCCCTTCATTTAATATCCTCCTTCATGAGGAATAAATAAGTGAAGCACTCTTGTATAGACCCAAGTTCAATGCTTTCACAGGCTACAGGTTCAGTTCTGTGCATTTCTTATCACATGGGATCTGGCATAGAATATGTCCCAGAATCTGAATATTGCCAAACATATAAGCATGGAGATTACTCAAATGCTTAAAGCTAAGTGAGCACTTTGTGGGCTTTTGTTTTGAAAGAGCCCAGCTCCTTGCAGGTTTAATCTTTAATTAACTGTAATAAAAGATGTTGATGAGACACGTGTTCTCACATAAAATTTTAATTGGGAGGAAAGTCCCCACTTACTTGAGTGACCTTAACAGTTCTACTGCTTGTTTATGTAAAGTAAAAGTAAAGGTTGACAGATTAGGCTTGCAATAAAGATAGTGCTATGAAACACTGTAGAATAGTCCTCTTCTCCATCCCCTACAGGGGAAGTTGCACTTAGGGTACTAAGGCTGGAAAACACAGAAGCACACACCATACATTTTCCATCATTAAGTTTCTATAGGCCAGTCATCCTATAATAATGCTTTTATTCTGGCAGCTGGGTGAGTATTGAAGGAAAAATCCACCTGCAAGTCATTTCATCAGGACTCATTAATTTGCTGTGCTTTTCCACTTTAAGATACTCATTTGAAGGACATCTTTTTCTCTGTGCCAGCCACATTAGGTAAGTGCTCTATTTACATTGCTGATGTTTTGTATTAGAAAAGCCAATACACAACAACAACAAAATCACAAAAAACCACCCAAGCTTCTGTTGCAGACATTGCTCTATTGAGAAATACCTGTTTCTATCTAGAACTGACCCCGGGCATTTTCTCTTTCTGCCCCCTCCCTTTTCCCCCAGATCATACAGTCACAGAATGGTTTGGGTTGAAAGGGACCTTACAGATCACCAAGTTCCTACGTCCTTGCCACGTGCAAGGACACCTTCCACTAGACCACGCTGCTCAAAGCCCTAAAGAAAATGTCACAGTGCATGTATCAAGGTGCAGTGTTGCTTCATATGTCTTTTCTTAGTCATTTATGGATTGCTTGCAGAAGCTTAGGGAAAATTTGGAGAAGGCTAATGATTGCATCAGTGTGTTTTTTCTAAACCCTTGAAAAATTATATTTTACCATCAGGAATCATTTTGGGCACCTGTCATGATAATGACCGTAAATAGCAACCAGGACTGGGAAAAGAAATCATAGAATCATAAAATCAACTGGATTGGAAAAGACCTCGGAGATCATCAAGTCCAACCCTTGATCCACTACTGCTGTGATTACTAGACCATGGCACTGATGCCACATCCAGTCTCATCTTAAAAACTCCAGGGATGGTGAATCCACCACCTCCCTGGGCAGCCCATTCCAATGTCTGATTACCCTCTCTGTAAAGAATTTCTTTCTAATAACCAACCTAAACCTCCCCTGGCACAGCTTAAGACCATGCCCTCTTGTCCTACTTCTGGTTGCCTGGGAGAAGAGACCAACCCCCACCTGGCTACAACCTCCTTTCAGGCAGTTGTGGAGGGTGATGAGGTCTCCCCTGAAATGCAGCCTGTGATCAAAATAAGGATCACTACTAGAAATATCTTGTGTGTTTCACACTTTTCCAGCATTCAAAGTTTTGAGCATTTTTTTTAATTCCTTTTGCGTTTCATGAGGAAACCCAAGCATCTTAATTAAAAATGAAAAATCCTCTTTACAAATTCAAGGGAGATATTTTGGCTATTATATAGGATAGGAGTAAAAAACGATTTTTTAAAATTAGTTATAATTATTAATAATCCAGAGGGCTAGAGCACCTTTTCTATGATGACAGACTGAGAGAGTGGGTTTGTTCAACCTGCAGAAGAGAAGGGCCTAGGGAGACCTTATAGCACCTTCCAGTACCTCGAAGAGCTACAAAAAAGCTGGAAAGAAACTTTTGACAAGGATATGTAGTGACAGGACAAAGGGCAATGGCTTTAAACTGAAAGAGAGTAGGTTTAGATTATATATAAGCAAGAAATCCTTTACTGTGAGGGTGGTGATACACTGGCACAGGTTGCCCAGAGAAGATGTGAATAACCCATCCCTGGAAATATTCAAGCCCAAGGTTGGACAGGGTTTTGAGCAACCTGGTCTAGTGAAAGGTGTCCCTGCCTATGGCAGGGGGTTGGAACTAGATAATCTTCAAGGTCCCTTCCAACCCAACCTTTTGAGGAATTTACTTATTTAATCTTCTCTCCTATCTCTAGTTCCATATAGCTGTAGATTAAGGATGAGAACACCTGGGTAAAGTATGACCCACGTGAGATGCATTTCTAGCCTTTGGCATTGCCCAGGACCGGGTCAGCAACACTGCACCTGGAAACCATACCATTCCCTTGAAAATAAGATTAGTTTTCAAATGTTGTAGTTGGAAATTCAGAGGAATTTTTTTAAAATGTCAGTATTTAAACCAAGAACTATATGTGCATTTGAAACACCTTAGCGCTTGGAACAGTTTTGATTTGATAAATATTTGATTCTGAAATGTTTTCACTGAAATGAGCCTACCATATGAGAGCAGCATCACTTCAATGCTCTGAAAATGCAACAGCTCAGATAAAACCAAGTTCAGCAGAAGCCAGGACAAGTGGGTTATTACTTAAATTAACAATTTAATAAATTAATTAAATGGTTCTCTATCAGGAACAGTTTTATCTTGGGTTTTACTGCTTTCAGACTCTCAAGGGCCTGATATAAAACAGCATCATGAATATAAACTTGCAGAAAAGTGAAACTCCACCAAGAATTAGTGGTGTACAGTGTATTTCATCCTTCTGGAATCAATGGCTATTGTCCTGGCAAAATCAGTACAGTCCCACAGTTTGATCACTTTACTTTCCTAATTGAACCTAATAGAAAATTAAAGATATTTTTTCCTTTTGATGATCTGCAAGATGAGTCATTTTTGATGTCTTTCATCTACCTGGATGTTCATAGAGTATTCATCATTGTGAGACCAGACCAGTACTTGCATTGTTAAAAACACATGCAATGTGTGGTGATTCTGTACTTGCCACTGAGCAGAAAAGTTGAACAGGTGCATTTGCTGTGCTAAATAACTGCAAACAGTGCATGGGGATATGATGTGAAAGTTTCATGGTAATAAATTAAGGACAAGAGACACTAAATCTAGGGACGACTGCAGAGAGAAGCATTT